TTCTGCTGAGACAGAAGAAATGAGAATTAAATAAGTGCAGTTCCCACGCACGGGCCGAAGCCACCGCGATGGGGCCGGATGAGAGCGGATGCTCCTGGCACAAAGAGGCCACGGAGGCACCGGGAAGCACCGGGAAGCACCGGGAAGCACCGGTCCCCAGGCCGGGAGCGCACGCAGGGGCCTCGCTGCCGGCCCCTCAATAAACACATTAAAAGGTTAGTTGAACTAAGGGATTGAGGTGGGCAGGGAGACGTGGGGATGTTTGCATGCCCTGACCTCGGGAGCACACCTGGCAGGAAAGCTGAACCGGGGGCACTTCTAGCTCTGAGCTGCTCTTCTGAATGATGAACAAAGCAACAGCGCTGCTCTAACAGGTGGAAGATGTTGGCAGTTTAATGGGGTTTTTTTTTAGATATAAGTATAAGCCTCTGCAGAAGCTATCTGAAAACAGATTATTTGTAACCATTTTAAAAAGGCAATTAAAAAATTGTTACAGATCTCAAATGGCCACCCTTGGCTTGCTAGCTTGAGAGTCAAGCCCCCATCCCATGAGGAATAACCATAATGTGTATCAATATTACCAGCTGAAAGCTGTAACATGGAGCCACTGCTTCCCTAATTCAAGTTATCACACTCAGTAAAAATCAATAAGAGAGGAGACTTTGCATGTTGGACTCGCTTGTTTTTTGCCACACTATCTATTTCTGTTGCTTCACAACTGTAGATGTAACAGGAGGAAAAGAAAATGTTATTTCGACTTCCAAAAGGACATCCATGCTGAGAGGAACGGTGGCTTACTACGGCTATCACTGTTGAAGAATGCTTCAAGGTTTTCATAAAAACAATATTAGAAGTATTCCACAGTACATTTGAATTAGCCTTGCCAATTCTTTCACATTTTTCTTCCTGAAAATTAATTACTGCAGGTGTGAGTACTCCTTTTGGAGTGGCTGTGAATGCAATCTGCTAAGTGTGTTAGCACCGTTACCTATTGCAAGGTTTTTGCAGCAAAACACAACACGCAGGAGCCGGAGCCGCCTGGCAGCACCATGATCCTCGCGGGGGGACATCTCCTGAGCTGCAAACAACCAGGCTGCTAAAGGAGTGAATCTCTTGTAGGGGATTTCCACTTTAAAACCGGTTAATATGTCATTTCCATTCACCCACTCCCATTTTCTCTTAAAAAAAAAAAAAAAAAAAAAAGAACATATGATCTGTCTTTGATTCCCTGTATGCACCTAAACAAGTTTCTTCTGTCATGGTTTCCTACCATTAAATCATCCTGGAGTTAAAATAAGATATAACTCCCTTCAGGTTTATGTGAGAAGAAGCAGGATCCAACATAAATGCACCGGACTGCTTGGGCGATGCCCCTTCCCACATTGGGTACGTTCTGGTAGCAACTGGCCAGGAATAGTAAGAAAATCAGAGCGGCCCCCTGCACGGACATGGTCCTGCAGAAGAACCTGCAGAGAAGTCGTCAGGAAAAAACACAGTGGAAAGTGTCCCTGGAGAGGTCTTAACAAGAAGGAACCTTCCAGGAGAGGATAACAGGGAGCATGGTTGGGCTTAAGGAAAAAGTGCCCTAAATTCCAGTTCATTCCTTTGCGATCTGGACAGAGCCCCAGGAGTTTATTTCGTGTCCTTTCTCCCCACATGCTCTTAACAGGGATGAAAAACACCACCAAAAATCCCAACAACAACAGCAAAAAACGCATTGCCAAATTAAATCAAATACGTAGGCACAAACGTTTCAAAGGGCGATCTGCTGGCAACGAGCACCGGCGGGGGGCAAGGACCACGGGAATTCCGACCGTCCCTGCGGCGCCGCGGGAGGCCCCGCTCCCGACAGCCGGGATTTACCGGGAGCGGCCGGGAGACCGAGGGAGCAGGCGCCGACGGGACCCCGCAGGAAGGGGCTTCCAATTTGAAGCTATGCAAACGGATAAATGAAAATTAAATGGAAAAAGAAGTCAAAAATCCTAATACAAATGCAAATAGTCTCATTATATATTCTTTTACTTAGCATTCTTTTCTTAATTTAATAATTCCTCTTGTGTCCTAGAGAATAACAGGGCTGATTTGTGCCTAATGATGCAAACTGTTGCATAAACATTGATTAAAAGTCCCAATTTTCATTCCGGATGAGTTGGATTCAGGCAGGGGCAGCACTCGAGCACAGGCTGCTGGTGTCGTGGGGCTCTCCCTGGGAACGTCCCACACATCCCAGCCCGACCCACAGCTGCCCCCAAACACACCCACCAAGGGCTGCAAAACCAGTTCACATGGGGCATTTGCTTTGCAGCTTACAAAGCTCATCCTGGTTGGAAATGTGTAGGACAAAGTCTGTTCTGTGCTCTATGTTTATATATACACACATATATATACATATATATGGATGGATATTACTTCAAGAATCAGGCTTGCCCCTGTTCTGTATTGACTCTTCACAAATGATTATTTCAGGTACTGCATAGCCAAAGCTGTTAGTTCTAGGCCAAGCAATTCAGGGATTTTGTCTTAAAGCGAGGCCAGCTCAACAGGAGGGTGTAGAACACCCCAAAGCAGCTTCTCACGGGGCAAGTGCCATAAAAACCTTCCCTCTTTGCAACCTGCTTCGGGGTGTCTGTCCAGACTCAGAGGAACTGCAAATAAACCTTTGCTTTGCCTAGCGAAGGGGAGCAAGGAGAGTGGCTGCCTTTAATTAGAGCTTATGCAATGTGCAGATCGGTTCTTTCGCTCTAAAACTCAAACCGTGGCAGCTCCCGTGTTAAAAATGGTCAGGTGACATTTTTCTTTAAAAACGGGTAAATCAGTGGTACTAATGCAGCAGCTCCCCCGCGCTGGGGGCGCTCCCGCGTTTCCGCGCTCACCTGCCGGATGCCCAGGCGGTAGGCCAGGATGCGGTCCACGGCGGCCGGGTTCATCTGCGTCCACTGCAGGCTGTACGAGTAGACGCGGGGCCGGTTCTGCCACAGCGGGTTGTACGTGTCGTAGTAGAACTCGGGGGCGTAGGCCTTGCCTGCGGAGACGCCACGGGGACACACAAGGAGGATGTTAGCGCGTTCGGATGGACGCGGACACGGGGAAGCGGGCACGAGGGCGGCAGGGGAGGAAGGTTTTCACTTCTGCTTTATGATCCTGTTTAAAACGCGTCATCCGAACGGCTCAACATTGCTCCGCTTTCGTGGAGTAAAGCATTAGGATTGACCTGAAATGAGTTTTAACAGGTTAACTTGGAGAAAACGCTTCTAACCACCAGTTTCTGTCCGGACAGGGGAACAAAACCAAGACCAGACTCTGTCTCTCATGAAGCAGCACCCCCTGCCCTGCCTACACAGCACCCAGGGCAGCCGGGTCTGCGCAGGGAAACTGAGGAGCTGGGAAAATAAGAGGAAAACTTCAAAAGCAACCAAAGCGCCCACCCCCTCTGGCCGTCAACCACTGAAAGGTAACGAGAAGCAGGGAAGAGAGGGGAAGGGAGAGAAGGGAGGAAGGAAAAAATAATAAAAAGGAAAAAATATTTAAATAATAAAATAAAAATAAAATAAATAAAATAAAATAAAATAAAATAAAATAAAATAAATAAAATAAAATAAAAATAAAATAAAATAAA